TAATCACATGATTTCGCATAGAGCGCATGTTTGCTTGCTGGTACTTATTGCCCTTGCGTGTTGTGAATAGAAAATCTTTTAGTCTTGATTTGAAGTTGGGACACTTTTGATTTAGACTTTTTTTGAGCGGCTGAAAAATGCAATAGAATGCCATGATGTTGTCTTCAATTTAAGTAGCCTCGTTAAGATAATACTGTGAAAGGACCTGGAAAATATGAGCGTCAGTGATAATAATAGTTTGCGAGAAATAATGTCTAAGTTTGAAATCTAGGTGCTGTGATTTATTTGAGAGTTCATCAACCAAAATGTGTTACATTTTTTACCGATGTGTGAGAAAGTAGAAGATGGTGAGTAAACTACATTGCTTGCTTATAGCAGTATATTATACCCTTCTGCTGTAGTTAATTTATGTGTGATTTGGTTGCTTGATATTGGGAGCTTTGTCTTTGCTTAATCTTGTTGTGTACTAGCAGTGATTATCAACTTTTATTTTAACAGCTTGTAGCTCTAAAGGGTGTATTTTTTGGTGGATGTACGTCATTTAAATGGTTATTATTTTGTAGGTTCTTGAGACTGATTTGTGCTCTCTTTTTTTTTATTTTTTTCAATTCTTTTGGATGTTATTGCAGGGTGAGGTGAATTGTGTCAAATGGGATCCAACTGGTTCATTGTTAGCATCTTGCTCTGATGACATTACTGCGAAGGTTGTAAAAATGACTTCTAGTTTATCTTGTTCACTGATACTCTATTTCTCAGCCAGTAATTGCTTTCCTGATATTACCTTTTTCGTTCTTAGGTTTTGGATGTAAAGTAATTCAATATGTGTCTTGCATTTATCCCATCCTGAGTCATTTCTGTCTTTGACCTGTCTGTTCTCTCAGTAATTCCATCTTTCTGGCCTCCTAACTTTTTAAGTGCTACAGATATGGAGCATGAAGCAGGACAAGTATGTTCATGACTTGAAGGAGCATTTGAAGGTACCTTGTGCTTTAGCAAGTTTTTTATTTATTTGTCCTGCATGTTTTTGTGCTAATTACTGTATTGCAGGAAATATACACTCTCAGGTGGAGCCCCACTGGATCTGGCACAAACAATCCTAACCAGCAGTTAGTGCTCGCCAGGTGAATTACTGCAACTTTTAACCAAGTTTATTTTTCCATTCAGGCTTGCGTGATTCGAATTTTCTTAATATGGGTGGTGGGACTTGTCATAGCATCTCTTCAAAAAGATGGGGTGTTAGCTATACTAAAACTTTCAGAGACAAATTGGTATTATCATCTGGGTTGAGTTGGCCTAATTCTTGCAACATCTTTGAAATGTTTGGGATTTGGAGGATATCTTTAAAGCTGCTGCATGTACTGGAGAAGACTATTGTTTTAGAAATGGGATGTTCCATCATTTGGAAAAGTTTAAGACCTCTGTGCACAATTTGTAGATTTTTTTATGTCAAAGGTACATATTGCATGCTTTTTCAGTCTAGTGGGACGATGATTCTGGTAATGTAAGTACTTCAGGTGCTTTTGTGAAGGTTTTCTTATCTATATGTTCTTTGCATCTTACCTGTGTGTGAAGTTACATATTTTCTTTGGTTACAGTGTCGTGTCCAAAATCCATTTTGAAGTTGCTCTTCTTATTTATTTTTACTTTTTTAACTTCTCATTATTGGTTTAGACTTTGGACTGCTCTCTTGGATAGTCTTATCTTTTCTTGATCGTGCAGCATTCTCATCTTGAGCTCTCTTTTCATTTAACTATTGCTTTAACTGATAAAAATCTTCTGCTGGCTGTTCTTTGTTGGTTGTTGTAATATTGTTGTCTTGTCATGCAGTGCATCATTTGATTCAACAGTGAAATTGTGGGATGTTGAATTGGGGAAACTTATTTACAGCTTGAATGGTCACAGGTAAATTTTCTGTTGCTTCATTTGCACTTTGGAACAATAGAAAGATGCAAGCGCTAGTTAGTCACTAATGATTGTGAAGTTTGCTATCTGTGACAGTAGAAGGCTATTTGTGTGGAATGTTGAGAAGATTACTTTTGTGCTGTTGAACTTGTATTGGAAGCATGTTATTATTTGTCATTCTTGTGACTTCACGAAGAATTGGTTTGATTGATTTGTGGACATGTTGATGCTTGATTGTTGTGGTCTCTGATTTTTGTTTTGTTTATTTCTTTTTGGAAAGGGACCCTGTATATTCTGTAGCATTTAGCCCCAATGGAGAATATTTGGCCAGTGGATCTCTTGATAAATCCGTTCACATCTGGTCACTGAAGGAAGGTAAGATCGTGAAGACATACACCGGAAATGGAGGAATCTTTGAAGTCTGTTGGAATAAGGAAGGTGACAAAATCGCCGCTTGTTTTGCAAACAATACAGTTTGTGTCTTGGATTTTAGAATGTGAAGTCTCAGGGCTTTTCAAGCATTAGAGCTCGGGCAATCACCAAGGAGACATGGCTTTACCTTCTTTGGTGGATGTGGCTGTGCTCTGCACTCTGCAGGTGTGTAGGTAGCTTTCTCTCACTGATTCTGACCTCTCGTCATATTTTCTTGGCAAATTGTCAGTTTTCGCTTCCAGCAAGATTGTTTTGTAGGAACCATGTACATATGTACTTTGCTAATTGTAACCTTCACATGGACGAATTCAATTGCAAATGCGTTTTAGATGTGGATGTTCCCAACTTGGTCGTCCTATCAGTGTGCAGCTCCATCGACAGTGCTGATGTATTTCAATTCTTCGTTCTTGTTTGTTTTTTCCTCAAAAGGAGTCTCATTGGAGGCATTTACATAGAAGGAATTATCTTGAAACAATCATAATTCTAGGGTGCGCATGAATACCATTTTGTGCCCGGGAACTATTTCTGAACAGAAATGATTTTTTTTTATTCTGTGCCCGGAAACAATTTCTGAGTATTTGAAGGCGTTTGATAAACTGACCAAAATTTCTATTCCTAGAGTAGAAAAGAACAGAAATGCGTTTGGTAACTACACAAAATTTCTGTTTTCAAATAATATTTTAATAATATTTTGAATTGTTTAATTTTTTTTTTCTTTCTACCCATTTTCTTCTTTGGCCATGGCCGGTCGCCGGCGACCGGCGGCCGGCGACTGGCCACAGCCTAGGGCCGGCGAGGGCGAGGGCTGGACCTTCGCCGCCCCTGGGCGAGGTCGAGCCTCGCCGTCGCGACCGACTGGCGAGGCCGAGCCTCGTTGTCGCAACCCACGGTGAGGTCGGCCGTAGGTGGGTCGCGACGGCAAGGCTCGGCCTCGCAGTCGTCTCGGGCGAGGCCGACCTTGCCGTCGAGACCGACGGCGAGGCTCGGCCTCGCCTAATCGGGCGAGGCGGCCTCGCCCGGGCGGCGAGGGTCCCGGCCCTCGTCGGCGAGGGCCGTGACGCCCTTGCCGGCCTTGGGCTGTGGCCGGTCGCCGGCGGCCGGCCCAGCCCAGGGAAGAACAACACAAAAATAAGAAAAGAAAAAAAACTGATTCTCAAAATTGTGCCGAGAAACAAGAAGCAATTTTTTTTTACTTCTTGTTTCTTTTCCAAAACTGTTTCTAGGCATAAATTTTTGCAAAAATGTGCCCGGGAACAAAAAGTTTACCAAACGCATTTCTGTTCCTAAATTATTTCTGAGAATAAAAAAATAGAAATTTCACTGTTTGGCACGTTGCCAAACGGGCCTCAGCTTCTTTCAGGTTCCTTGCATCCTCCAATGTTGACTGCTTGTTGACTTGTCTGCTTGAGTGGGAAGGATAAGTTCTCATTAGACTATTATTCCGAGGAAATCGTGCTGAGCTTTGGCTACTATTTGAGCTCCAAAGCTGGCCATGTCATTTGATTGGACCTGTTTCTTTTTTTATCTATATAGTTAGTGAGACATGTGTCACTCAGAGAGGACCAACTATCAATCACTGATAGCTCTCTTGCTTTTGCACCAAAAAAAACATAGGGTGTATTTGGTAACAATTCTGTTCTCGGAAATAATTTCTGCTCATAAATTATTATTTTTATTCTGTTTCTAAAAACAATTATTAAGCATTTGAAGGCATTTGGTAACTGCCCAAAATTTCTATTCATGGAATAAAAAAAGAACAGAAATGCGCTTGGTAACTGCACGAAATTTCTTTTTTATTAATAATATTTTTAAATATTTTAATATTTCTTTTTTTTTTCTTTTTCTTCTTCTCCTTCTTGGCCATGGTCGGGTTGTCGGCCACGGTGTCTAGCCCTTGCTGGCCATAGGCGAGGGCGGCCCTCGCCCTAGCTGCGAGGGTCTAGCCCTCGCCTGTGGCCGGCGAGGGCCGCGATACCCTCGCCAGCCTTGACCTGTGGCCGGTCATCAGTTGCTGGCCACCGGCTAGGAAAGAAGAAAAAGGAAAAAAAAAATCTCTTTTATTTCTTATTCTTGTTCCTAGAATCAACTATTTTTTTTTTATTCTGTTCCAAAATTGATTCTGGGAACAAATTTGTATCGGGGAACAAAAAATTTTCTACAATGGATTTCTGTTCTTTTTTTATTCTCAAGAACAAATGAATAAAATCAATCACTATTTGGCAAGTTACAAAACACACCCGTAGTGTCTTAAGATTAGATTAGATATGCAGGGACGAACATACCCCTATGGCTGAAAAAAGAAAGTTGTACAATTTTGAAATTCATACAACATAAAAGGAGAAAAGTACACTAACTTCTCCTCTGCGCTCAACCCTTAAATGTTTCAGCTTTTGCAATCACGTCCCAATTTGAGGAAAAGAAAATGTACCCTCCTTTAACAAAACTGCCATGTACGAATAATCGGATATGTTATGGTCAGATCGACTTGATTGCTCAAGATGTGATCATACATACACTCGATGGTAAGTCACAGACGAGGTTTGGATTTCAATTTTGAATATCAATACGGATTGATGTAGTTCCTATCATCAGAGAGTCGCAGAAGGCAATGTTCTTAGGGTCAAAATTCACTTTATCAAGCGTGTTTCGGTTTTTAAAGACCAATGTTAATGACTTGCTAAAGATGCATTAAGCAAATCAGAAGTAGCAGAACATATAGCAGGTATCGAGGGCCTTACTTCTACCTGAAGAATTCTGACACGTTATTCTTACTAGTATCTGACAGGCAACTAGATCGTTACAGCTATATCTGACAAGCCAACAGTACAAGGTTAACAAACAAGAGGCTACCAGTAATCCCCACAAGAACAAGAACCATTTACAAAGTGGTGGAACCTGTTACGATCTCTCATCACTATTTTCCGCCCCGTCATCAGTGAAATAAGCTTAGTAACCGCATGGCAATCCGAGCATACTCGGAGATTCTTTACGATTCTGATTGTAGTTCCCGCTTCAGTACTGATGAGCCCGAAAGCGATGGCGAGCCTCTCGCTGTGAACTTCCAGGGATTGCTCCTTTTGCTCTTCCCCTAAATCATGCAGCACCGTATCCGTCTGTGCTCGGTAATTGTAAGCCTTAAGCCAACTGTTGATCTCTTCCAACATTGAATAAATTTCTCTGCTCTTGGGATGTCTCTTATCACCTGCAAGGAATTCGTGGACCCTGTTATTAACTTCAATCGAACTACAACCTTTCTCCTTTATCACCCCGCTGGACTTCATCAACGTCCTCACCTTTGCAACCGCATCCCAATCACCGGAAGCAGCATATATGTTGGACAGAAGGGTATAGGTTCCACAATTCGCTAGGCCTTTCCCAACAAGAAATTCCGCAATTTCCTCTGCCAGCGCCGTCTTACCGTGAAGCCTACAGGCCCCAAGTAAAGTTCCCCAGATGACAGCGTCCGGTTCTGTCTCCATTTCCTTGACAAGCTGATATGCCTCTTCTAAATTCCCGGCCCGGCTTAGGAGGTTTACCATACACCCATAGTGCTCTATCTTCGGCTGAATCCTGTATTTATCCTTCATCGAGTTGAAGAAATCCCAACCCTCTTTAATCAATCCCGTGTGGCTGCACGCGGTCAAGATGGCAATGAAGGTGACATCGTTAGGGTTCACACCCAATCTACACATTGTATTGAATGTCCCCAAAGCACACAGGCTAGACCCATGGATTGCACACCCCGATATCATCGAATTCCAAGCGACCACGTCCTTGGGATTCATACTTTCAAAGACCGAGAGTGCATCTTCCAAACTGCCACATTTGCTATACATATCAATCAATGCAGTGCCCACATGAGCATTCATCTGAATTCCATTATTCTCGATATGCGAATGGATCCACCTACCCAACTCCAATGCTCCAAGTTGTCCACAAGCAGAGAGCACAGACAGTACAGTCACTTCGTTAGGCCTCGCACCAGCACTCAGCATTTGCCTGAACAAAACCAAAGCCTCATCCGGCTTCCCATGTTGCGCATACCCATCAATCATCACATTCCAACAAACCACATCCCTCTCCAACATTTCGTCAAACACCGCCCGCGCCTCCTTGAGCTCCCCGTGCTTCGCGTAGCACGTGATCATTGAGGTCAAAGAAACCAAACTTCTCTCGGGCATGGAATCGAACAACCGGCGCGCGGACGCGATCTCTCCCCCTCTCGCGTAGACGTCGACGAGGCCCGTCCTCACGTACGCATCGGAGCAAAACCCGAGCTTGACGGCGTGGCAGTGAAGGGCCTTCCCGCTCTCGAGCGGGCAAGACTTAAGGACGGAGGAGAACGTGAAGGCATTGGGCTCGATCCCATCGCCCATCATCTGGACGAAGTAGAGAAGCGCTTGCCGGTGAAGACCCAGATGGGCATGGTCGTGGATGAGGGCGGTCCAGTTGAAGACGGTGGGGTTTGGGTCGCAGTTGAAGAGGGCGACGGAGCTGCGGAGGCGGCCGTGGGAGGAGTAGGAGCGCTGGAGCTTGAAGTTGAGGATGCGGTCGCGGTGGAGGCCGTGGCGGAGGAGAGCGGCGTGGATTTGGAGGAGGTGGCCGGGGGACGTGGAGTTGTCGATGAGGGACGCGAGCCTCTGTGGCCGAGCGGTGTCGGCGGCGGCGGTCGTGGGTGGTGGGACGGCGGAGGGGCTCTTGGCGGTGGCGGGTAGCGGTGGCGGTGTGGCGGAGACGATGGACATGGACATGGCTGAGATATACTCCTAGGCTGCGTTTGGTCGACCGTATAAAAGCCAGGATAGGATATGTTTTATCATATTCTATATTTGGTGGTGGTCCAGGATAGGATAAGGTCGGATATAGACCGGATATAGTCCGGATAAAAAAATCCGGGGGAAGGGGTAGGATAGACCCGGATAGGATTTTTAATGCCTATTTTTCCAGAAACTCTACGCTCCACTCACCGTCATCTTCATCCCCACACCTTGTGCGCTTTCACCAAAAAAATTTCTCGGCTTTTTTTTCTTCACTGACTCCTCCGAACCCGTGAATAGCAAAAAAAAAAAATTTATCCTATCCGACTTTAAATCCGTAGTCCACCAAACAGTGGATAGGATATGAAGAAATCCCAGGATTTCTTATCCTATCCTATCCAGTCATATCCTGTTTAGAAATCCGGACGACCAAACGCAGCCCTACTTGTTATTCAAAGTGTCCCATTCCATGGATAATATAATAATTTCAAATGCCATTTTCTTTCGTAATTTTTTTTTGTCATAATTTCCTTTCTTAATTTAAAAGCCTTAATTTTTAGGAAAAAGATTAGTCAATATTTATTCAAAAAAATTAGAAATTCTTAAAATTATTTGTGTATGGAAAAACATTCGACTATTCAAAGTGAGCTCGGCTTGAGTTCGAGTTCCTTTGTAAATTGATTATAATTAAGATAAATCAGGCTTATGTATCTTGATTTTCTATTCGAGTTCAAATAGATTAATACCATTGAGCTCGAGCTGATTTTTGAGCACTGAATGAGTATATCGAGTCGAGATTGAGATTGAAATTATATGGGCTCGACTTGCACCGATTACACCCGTAGCCACGGTGCCCACTGGTGACTTTAAATCTAAGGTTGTTGACGACCTCGATATGAGGTTGTTGGGAGCCCATGACCTCGAATAAAGTTTGTGGAACACATAAACAAGGACAACTCCAATCAAGGTCATCATAGCAACATGGTGCTTCGATGCTGTTGGTAGGCGATAGACAACTGCTATACCTAATCATGAGCCTTGTGACTCGACGATCCACCCTACCCGGTCCATGTCACAAGGGTTTGAAATCTTTGTGGGAGACTTAAGTAAGAACATTTAGTGAGAAAATGCGGCTTGAAAATTTGTACATAAGAATTTTATGATAATCAAGCTAGGATGAACATTCCGGCCTAACTGTAACCTCGGTCTGGCCCAAGCCTGCTGAATGATAACCTCTAACAATGACAGGTGACGGTGGACCGTGGAGAGAATAGGTTTTATGGGGAGAAAATTACCAAAACAATTATAAACTTATTGCAATTGTACCAATTTAGCTCTAAACTCTCTTTTTTTGTGCTAATTGAGTCCTAAACCTTTTACATTGTGCCAATTCAGTCTGGCCAATGCATTTTGGCCGGCCAGCGCTGACATGGACGCTAGCTGTCCTATGGGACACCGCCGGCTCTGACGTAGATAATTTTTAATTGTGTTAAAACTTTTAAAAAATGAAATCAACGGAAGGACTTGATTGGACCAATGTGACAAGTTTTAGATCTTGATTGTACTTTTCGAAAATTTTAGGATTCAATTGCACTTTCATGATAATTTTTAAGACTTAATTACATTTTTTTAAAGTTTTAGAACTTAATTACACTTTCGTGACAAGTTTTGAGACTTTCAATACACTTTTCCCAAATAAAACTTGTACTGATTACTATAGCTTTGTTCTACTGCAATGTGATTGTTGCAACACAAGCATATTCTAATAAGTCAGAGCCAACTGCGCTTCTTCGCAATGGGTGATGGCCTTGCTCCATCACAGGCTACACTCCCTTACCTCATCATGCTATATAAGGGTGTAAACGGTTCGGTTCGGTTCGGTTTTTTTGAAAAACCGAACCGAACCGAACCATTAAGGGCGCCCCCTTGAACCGAACCGAAACTCGCTCGAACTGAATTGGAACCGAACCGAAAAATCGATTTGGTTCGGCTTGGTTCGGATCAATTTTCGGTTTCTTCTTTTTTTTTCTTTTTATTCATCACCGCCTCGATTGCTCTCTCCCCTTTCTCTTTCTCCCTGACCAACTTCTCATTCTGCAACTTCAACCTCTCGAAGCTCCCTTCCAGATACCTTCACACCTTCTCCACCAAGCCCACGTACTCCACCTTCAACGAATCCCTCTTGCCGCTCACGTCCCTCAAAGCCGCCCTCTCCCTTTCGAGGCCATCCACCCGCTCGCCCACCCTCTCCCTCAGCCCCTCCACCTCCGCATCCCTCTGGTGAAGCAGAGGGAAGAAGAGACACGAAGGTAAATCAAGCGTCCCTCAGATCCGGGTACGAGCTGCTATTTCTCATCCTCCCAGACGAACTCGAGGAGAACCCATATTCGCCCCGATCGGAGCTCCGACGGTCGTAGCTGTCGTACCACTTGTACGGCGTCGCCGGGTTCGACGACGACGACAACTTCCGCGAGTCCGACCTCGGGTACAAGCTCGACGACCCGCGTCTCTGCCGCGGTTGGATCTACTGAGGAACCAGCAGATGATGGCAAAGAGGACGAGGACAAGGTTGATAGTGTCCCAGCTCTTCTTGATGGAACGGGGCCGGAAGATCTGGGAAGTAAGGCTAAGGAAGGGCGAGACGACGAAGAGCCCTAAAAGCCTTTTAGGGTAAAAAGCGAAGGGCGTATTTTCAATTCGGTTCGATCCGAACCGAACCGAAATAAACCGAACTGAAAGAAAAAAAATGGTTTGTTTTGAGTATCCGAACCGAAAACCGAACCAAACCGAAATGCACAAAATTTCCGGTTCGGTTCGGTTCGATTCGTATCTCGGTTTGATTTTTCGGTTCGATTCTGACACACCTAATGCTATATGCGATGTATCGGGGTAGAGGGGACGAAGTAGGTCTAGAATGCATATTTTAAGTCATATTTAATTGTGTGGATCATAAATGAATTGCCTTAAATTTTCAAAACAAGCTTAAATAGGTCATAAATTGGTTACCTAACAATTTGATCGGTCATAAATGGGTTTTAAATTAGTCATAAATGGTTTAGCTAATAAGCTCAAGTGAATCATAAACAGGTCATTTTTAATTTTTTAAATTTTATAATTTTTTATTCTTCTAAAATTTTTGAATTTTTTACAATTTTTTTCTTTTTGTTTCTTTATTCTCCTTTTTCTTTTAACAAAATCCGACCGACCCTCGTCGGTCGTAGGCGAGGGCCAGTCACTCCTCGCCCGCGGCAGGCAAGGGTCCCGGCCCTCATTGATAGTTGGTGACGGTTGCGGCCCTTACCCAGACCGTTTAAGCGAGGGTCCTTTAGTGACCCTCACCGGACTTAGAACAAAAAAAAAAGAAAAATAAAAAAGAAAAGAAAAATATAAGAAATTCATAATTTTTTAAAAAAATTGTCCACAGTGTTTTGGCAATAGAATTTTTTAAAATTTTTTTAAGAAACAAGTTTCCTAGATTGGATTGAATATGGAAATGTTTTAGCAATACGGGTTAGGTCGCGTATGGGTCAAGAATTTTGCATTACGAATAAACGGGTCAATTTGGGTCGAACCATTTATGATCCGACTCGACCCACCCATTTGACAGGTCTACTCGGAGAGCGTCAACACAATTCACTTGACAAATGAATAACAAACGGGAGGAAATTCCAGCAACATGAACTTCTCTCTCCTTCCGAGCCTCGCCTTTCTTCTACTCTTTTACACTAGAATGCCCGGCAAAATCCCCCTTCAAATATATATTGTTAGATTCATATTTTACATATATAGACGAAATAACATGGTCATCCTCCTATCTGAAGGACATAGCATCATATACATATAACCAACATTAACATGTTATCATACTATGTATCTTTCTATATCTGATGAAACAACAAGTTAGTTAGAAAATCAGAGTTCTAAAGTCCACAAAAAATAATATATACATTTCCAATGACTAACTAACTGTACCCAAAGAATATCATTTCAAATATATATGCAACTATCTCAACTTATACCAAGGTCCAACTCCCAAAAATCTCTCGCCGATACAGCTCTCGTCCTATTCATCAATATTGAGATGAATGGTACGAGCAAACCACCGCTCAGTGAGTAGCATAAATCTCTTCTAAGTAAATTAAGCATCAATTATACACATTTATAACGGTACCTGAAACACATTTAACAAAGCAATAATATAAAAGCAAACATTATTGGTCTAGTTCATAGAATAGTGCTTAATATGGGATTGGGACACTACAAGTACCATAACTTTTTTTTTTTCATTTGAGTATTATAACTTCTAAAAACGTTCACTTAAAAGTTACGACTTTTATGAAAAAAATTATTTACTTAAATGTCATAATTTACGATCAATCGCTTGAATGTTTTAAGAAATGTTCATCCCAAATGTCGTATCACGTTGAATTTCGGGCAGTTGCCTAGACTCGCTCATATTTGCCTTAGCACGGCCTTAGAGGCTGGAAGTGATATTCATAAGTGACAAATGTCGATATCCAACGAAATAGAGTAGCGGTAGGTTCTCCCGATTACCAAGGATATAAGACTAAGTTTGCCATGTGTAATACATGACGCATGTGAAACCACAAATTTAAGGTGGAGGACACTATAGTTGGGTGTCGTGTGTCTAATGTAGGAAAGAAAAGAAAATGAAGAAAAAGGAAGAAAGAAAGAGAAAATTCGGGTAAATTTTAAAAAAATGTAAAAATTATCCATGTCAGCGTCCGTCGTGCCATATAGGATGGCTGGCGCTGACTAGATCACAACGTCAGCGATTTTCAACCGAAATTAGCCGAAAGAACTATATTGGCGAATCGTAAAAAAATTTAAGACTAAATTAATCAAATTGAAAAATTTAGGATCGAATTGGGGTCCGTACAATATGTTTAGAAATTTTTTGATAATTATCCCTGAAGATACATGCGAGGGTAGATCGGAAACCCACTAATATGAAGGGGCAGACTGATTCTAAATCTCATCACAAA